TACTGGGTGCCTTGGAATTGGGGATTTGGGTTCACGCACTGATTGCCAGGAGTGGGTTGCCTCTAACAGTTCATTGGGTACTTCTCTTATTGATATGTATTCAAGATGTGGCTGCATTGATCGCTCGGTCAAAATTTTTAATGAAATGCCTGTTAAGAATGTTATTACGTGGACTACGTTTATAACTGGATTGGCAGTGCATGGCTATGGTAGAGAGGCTTTAAATGCATTTTATGAGATGAAAAGTTTTCATTTTAAGCCTGATAGTGTTGCATTTATTGGTGCTTTACTGGCTTGTAGTCATAGTGGTCTCGTGGAGGAAGGCTGGCAGATTTTTGAAAGCATGAGGAATGAGTACCACATTGAGCCAATGATTGAGCACTATGGTTGCATGGCTGACCTTTTAGGCCGTGCTGGTCTCCTCCTTGAAGCTTTTAAGTTAGTGGAGGAAATGCCAGTCCAGCCAAATTCTGTTATTTGGAGAACTCTTCTTGGATCATGTGTTAAACACAATCACCTGCAGTTGGCCAAGAAGGCTAGAAATCGAATCCTTGAGCTAGACGCACATCATGGTGGTGATTATGTGCTTTTATCAAATGCATATGGTGTAGTTGGTAAATGGACTGAGAAGGCTGGCTTGAGGAACTCAATGAAGGAGAATAAAATTATCAAGGAGCCTGGCCATAGTTTGATCAACATTGATCAAGAAATTCATGAGTTTGTATCTGGAGATTGTTCTCATCCACAATGGGAGGAGATTAGACAGTTACTAGTTTCAGTTATAGATACTCTAAAAGGTGGAGGTTACAGTCCTAATACATCCTCCGTGCTGCATGACATTCAAGAAGAAGAAAAGGAATATAGTCTGAGTTATCATAGCGAGAAACTGGCAGTGGCTTATATGCTTGTTAATCATCAGGATAGAAAAACCATAAGGATCATCAAGAACCTTAGAATATGTAGTGATTGCCATGATTTCATGAAGCATGTTTCAAATATCTTTAACAAACATATCATTATTCGGGATCGAACTCGTTTCCATCATTTAGCAAAGGGATCATGTTCTTGCCGAGTATTGGTAAAGGATGTCTTGTGCAAGCTTATCATGATTTGCTGGCTCAGTTGCTGGGCGTATAACGTCTCTCTTTGATGGTTGTACGAAGTCTGGCTAACCGGATCATTGAGTTGATAAAATGAATTTTTTGAAGGTAACAAGAGGTCATATCTCCTCAGTTCCTGAAATTCATTTTTGACAAAACTTATATATTATGTTAGAATCCTTGCCATCCCTACCCATGAATACTAAAATTTATCATGATTATCGTATGGCATATAGTTACAACTAGAATCTACTTAATGATAATTGAGATTTTTACTCTTCAACTTGGTTGTATGTTGTTGGTTTAGATTATTATCCCCTTTAACCGTGCTATGTCGGGTATTTTTTTTCTCGGGAATGCTAATGGTAATTCCAATCATAGAATTCTTTATTCATAAGAAGAAATTATACAATTATCTTATCCCAGACGGTATTGTTGTTATTTGTCAAATGAAACTTAAAACGATATCTTTCATTTGCCTTTCTGTGTTTGGTGAATATCGCATGTGGTTTGTGCTTAACAGATATTTATTTGTTTTCATGTGGGGTTTATATTTATACTGTCCTCTGAGTTCCTAAAGACCTAGAAGAATCATTTCTCATCTGTGAGACTTGAAAATCCTATGCTCATTAGGCATTAAAAGTTGAAGGAGCATTCCCCAAGTGATATGTTCATGTAAATTGTTCAAATTGTAATTTGGATTGCTAGAGAAGAGCCAGTACTGGCAACAGAATGCTAACACACCCATGATATTCTCAACAACTATTCGTGCAGTCCATTTACATGAATATAAAATTTAACTGGATTTGTATAAAATGTTCATCGTTTAAAAAAAAAAAAAGGTTCATCTTAACAACTATTTTGGTGAAGTATTTGGGTAGCACCACTAAAAGAATTGATGTACTCTGGAAACAAAAATGATGTACACGTTGTATATGCGGGTATCTCTTGTATATCCCTCGTTCTACTGCGCTCTCACCTAGTATATAGCTGTGTACTGATTTTTTACTGTTCTTGAACTCCCTTGTTTCATAATTTCCCCTTAGCTGTCAGAAACAGTAATATGGAGGATGCCAAAGTCAAATCCTCTGAACAAGAAAAATATCACCAAGCAAGAGAATCAAGAAATGTTGGATTTACCTCTAATCAAGGGATAGAGGAAGTGAAAAAGAACAAAACTACAATCTCAACTGAGCAAGACTTGTATGTCTTTCTTCTGGGAGAAAAGGGAGACACTGATGATGAAGCAGGTACGCTTTGTTTATTTTAGCCCTTAGAATCTGATGTTGGCTTCTGAAAAAAATTACGTATACTGCACATTCAAGTTTGTCCATCTCCAATTGTAATGGTTGCTGTAACATCCTTATTTTTATCTAGTATTTAATTAAATTTATGAATAAATATATTTTAGTATTAAGTTAATTAAAAAAAAAAAAAGAAGTTAGATATAGGCAAATTATTATTATTATTATTTAATAATGTTTTTGTGTGTGATTGTGTGTGTGTGGATGATATTCTAGAAAATTAAACCATGGTATAGAAGTCCCACATCGACTAATCTTTAGAGTGAAGGAGTTTGAGCAGCCTATATATAGGAGATAATGAGTGGAGCTTGAAGTGAGTAAATAATTTTCGCACATATCTGAGGTAGTCTCAGAAAAGTGCTATTTGTGAGTTTATTAACCGTTGGATCGGACTGAAATTTGGTCAGTCCATTTGGGACATCCAAATCGTTAATTTCAACGGTTGGATCATCATTTTGATCTCCGAGTTACAAGTTATTAGGTACGTTTTTAACTTATATCTTTTGGATTTAGCAGAAAGAGTCCTGAATAGTAAATTAGCATTTTAAAGTTCATTCACCGTTAGATTGAGCTATAATTTGGAGGATAGTATCATGATAGATAGGGAATTAAATTCAACGGTTAGATTAAGGTTTTAACTTCTGTAGTGAGAATAATTTGGTTCATACTAAGTCTATTTGTCTAAGTCCTTCGAAGATGGAATATAAGTTATAAATTTACAGTTTGTCTGTTTACCTTATGAATTTGATGATTCTAATAAAATAATCTAATAATTAAAGGATACTTAAGTAAGGAAAATTTAGGAATCGAGTCTAAATCATATATATATGTTCTCATTCCAAACCTTAGAGAAATGTCTTTTAGGCTAGAGTTCTGAGTAAAATTAAAGCTTTTAGAAAAGGAGTTAGAGGCTAGAATTTTGTGAGTAGCCTACTCTAGTACTATAGAGATAATATTTTAATTTTGTTTGTAGATATAAACTCTATTGTGGCATTTTCGAGGTTGGACTCTGGTTGTAGTTGACTGTTAGCTAGGAGACCAGGTAACTAAATTTTATCTGTTGCATGCTCTAGTATGAAGTTGGTGAGCAGCTTTATAACTAATTCTATAAAAGTATATTACGTTTTGTATGAACTGTCTTGTGGGATGCTATTTTAAAAAGGATTGACATAGTTTGTATTGCAAGAAATTGGTGATCATGATTATGATGTGTTATTATGAAATTCTGTTGATTATGCATATAAATGTGTCATTTTGAACCCTGTGCATCTATTTCGGGGGGAAAGGAGGTAATTGGAGTTATTGAGATTCATATACTTGCCACGTGGTATTAGCCTCCATACGGAGCTCTATGGTTGGCTGCTATTATTGTCCCACTAGTTCTTCGAGGGACTGCGACACCCCACTAGTTCTTCGAGGGGGACCCATGGTCCACCGAGTGCTCTGTGGTCTTTGGCCGGTCCACATCATTCGTGTGGTGAGCTTGTCAGAGTTGCCAGTTAAATGGAAAGAACTTAGCCCATGGGTCCAGTCGGCGGAAATAAGGAGGATATAAGGATGGATTTGGGTTCAGGAATTGCATATGACATGGGATATTCATTGATATTTCCATCTTTTAAATAAATGACAATATGTTATCTCTTTTGAAATGTATCAACTGCATGAGATTGGTGGAAATATTTGTCTTGTATGATTATTGTGAGTTTAAATGTTAAATAAATGTTTATCAACTATTATTAGCTCTGTGTATCCCACCTGACACCTCTCTAGCCCATGCTAGGGTGTGGGATAGGTAGGGATTTAGTTACTGAGACGTTGTCTCATTCCTGTTGCTTTACCATTTTCAGGAAACAATACGTTAGCAGGACCTTCGGGGAAGACTCCTGAGGCTCAATAGCTGTAGCTGACAGTGTAGAGCTTCTGGACCTTATTTTTATGCAATCTTTTCGTATATTGCCACGCATCAGGACTGCATTCATTTGGGACTTATTTTACCTTCTTATATTTTTATGTCGTTTGACTTAATGAACGTATTATACTTTCTATCCTTGGTTTATTTTGTTTGGACATTGGACTAGAGTGCTGGTAGTGGGCCTGATGCCCTTAGATTGCATGTGATTGAATTATTGTGGATCCACGATGTGATAATGGTAATTTTTGCAAGTTTAATTGTTGCTAGTATTGACTAATATAGTCAAATCTAAACTGCTATTATAATTTATCATTTAGAGGCGTATTGTTTTATAACCATGTTGGCGTGATTACAAATATAGGTTATTCTTTTCTAACCATGATAGCCTTAATTAAGGTCGAATGCTTTTCTATCATGGTTAGCCCCTTAGTGATGTGATTGTTCTTAAATAACCATGATAGGGTATGTTTACTAGTTTTAGTCCTTTCTATCATGGTTAGTCTGGTTAGTAAGTGGTGGAAGTTACAGTTGCCACAATAATCAAGAGAAGATTAACCAGCTGATAGCAAAATCTATATGTGATGTAAGTTGCAATTTATCCATTGTCAATAGTCCTAGAATTCCAATGTTAATCTGAATCCCACATTTGCAAACAACCTTTCTGGTCTTTCAGATGATGGCACTGGAGATATTGGGGATGATCTAGAAAAATGAATAATTCCATAAGCACGACATGTTTTATCCTATTTCCAGTCAGATTTTATTATCCTTTTTGTCTATTCCTTCCCTTTTTTCCTTATATTCTGTATGGATTTTACTGTAGAGTTGCCAGTAAACTTTTAAAGCTATACTTAGAGTGAAATTTTTGGCGGTCTCTTTTTGACTATTTATGATTTATATTGTTGAGGTTAGGGTGAGTGAATCAAATCCTTGGATTAGCTTCCAAGTATTCCAGCAAATTTGCTTTTTCGTAGTTGACGTGATGAAACCACTCCTTTGTTTGAAAAATGAGTCGAAGCAGTTTGGCTCAGCTTCTTAAGAAGGGGGGAAAAGAGGGGGAGAAGGTTGATTCTGGATGGTTAGATAAGAAACTTTTTTCTGCTTAATTTAAATTAAAATTTAAAGAATCAAATATTTGCTAATCTCAAGTCACCGATACTCACACAAATTGTACAAAATGGGTATGACAAATTGAGTTATATCACGATGATAATTCCATTATTGAAATATTGAATATTTTCAGTGCGGACTTAATATTCTTCTTTATGACTAAATAAAAAGTTCAACCTTGGACAAATAGAAGTGATAATTAGTTTAAGTCTCTAATAACGAAGGGGCTATAGAAAATGTTCAAATTTGAGGCCTATAAAGGTGTTCAGATTGCACGCCAGAGAAATGGGTGCAAACTTGGGATGATATATGCTTACAGCATAACAGACAACCATTGCCAACCCCCTTCTGCTGCCTTCGTACCAATCATAAAAAGAATGTTCCGTTGTTAACATCTTCAAACAAAAATGTGCTTCAATTTTGTGTTTTGTTTAATCCATGATAATAAGAGTAAAAATAGTTGGTAAGCAGAGAGAAACTAAGTTGTGCACCACTGAGAAGTTTAAACAAGAAGCAATGCTTCATCTTCTGCAAAAACCCTTCTCTCAACAAAAAGCTAGCTGTTCATTTTGTATTTTGGACTATAACTGATGCAAAACACACTCATACACACTTTCACATGTACAAACAGAGGGATATGAGAGAGAGACAGAAACAGAGGAGAAAAGGGGGTACCAGAACAGAAAATGGTGATGGAGATGAGACAGAACGAAGGGTAATATGGAGAGAGACCAGAATCTGATCAAGGTAACATATTTTCATTCGTCCAAAAAACAAAAAGTCCGTCTACAAGTGTTGCCTAGCTGCTATTTATAAAGTGAGATTTCCTTCACACGAAGGAAAACAAAATAATATCCTAGCGTTTCCTCTCTAGGAAGGAAACATCCAAAGTTCAAAATATTATATATAACAAGGCAATATTCTGCCAATTGCAAGCTATAACAGAAAGTAAATAAAATAAAACATAAAAGTAGGGTATTTCCTCTGCCACTTGCCAGATATAAAATAAACTAAACATCATTTCCTTCAACGATAAGTCTTCCCATATTTTCCATCAATAACACCTATGCTTTCAATATTTTAAACAATATCTAAAACACTAGTTTGTCTATTGGAAAAAATATTGGAGACAAACGCATTTTGAAGAGAATTTTTTTCCCCTCACAGTATACTAGGATAAGATCATAACATGCTGATACCCTCTGTAAAACTTTAATCCTAGAAATTTATATATGAACATAGAGCACGGTGGAATCACAATATCAGTGTAAATCTATCCTCTGGTTGTGATTATATGAAATTGGGATGTTGGAAATGACCTTCTTTCTTGGCAGCGCAGGGGAGTAAAATCCTGTTCAACCAAGCATGACCCTCCCTTCTGTTGTCTACGAAATATGAATTTATATTGTCATTCACATATCTGTGGTTCTGTCTAGGCTTAGTTGATGATTCTATGGGATTGACTGTCGTTTGATAGTAGTACCAATAATGTGTTAAAACTTACTTGAATCCTTACTATTATATAATTGATTTTAATCAAATTTCTTATCTACGGTATGCAATTAATATGTTATGGAGGGAGTATTATGATGGGGTATGATTAGCTAGTATTATTTTTTCATTTCACAGCTCTGCAGTGACGTCCAAGATAAGAATGCTGGAAAGCTCCATCTCATCACCACCACCACCACCACCATCATCATCTTGAATTGCTAAATTTGATGCCTACAGGCTTCTTCTGCTCTGTTTTTCTGCCAATTTTTTAATTAATAATCGGGCTTTTGAGCCCAGTTAAATTCATTTTGAGTAGTTTCTTAATTTAGCCTGATCAACAAGTGTTCCCAAGAAGCTCCCTGAATCCATTTGATTTCTTTTATATTGCCTCCAGGTGAAATAAACTATAGGGATGCAGAAGCTACAGAACTATTCAGCAGGAAGTTCTTGAAAATATATTATATAGGTCATGTGAACAGTGTATAGCTGAGGGGACTCCAAGATACAAGATGAGCTCATGAAACGGCACCCGTTGCCTGACCTTTTTTGCCCTTTTTTTTTTCGGGCCTGATCCTTTTCAGATAAATGAGCTTTATGGCTTATGTTCAGTCAGTGTTAGAAGCTCACTTGGCTTTCAGATGATTGAAGAGCTGTTTTACAAAGCAATTATTCAAATTAAATTATGAACATTGACATTTTGAGAAAATGAACCTTTTAAATTAGTGTGTGTGTAATATAGAGAAAATTAATCTTTATGTCCTTGTGACTTTGATTTAATATAACCTAATCTCTATATTTTAATCATTTAAAATATTAGACTCTATATTTTAAAAAATAAAATTATATTTTTTATTAAGTTTAGAGACTAAAGCTTTAAAATTAAAATTAAAGTGAGTCAAAATTTAGAGAAAGAGTTTCAATTGAATTAAAATTATAGAGATTGGGTTACATCGAATTAAAATTTAAACATTGAGATACAACTAAGTCGAAATTATAAGGTAAAAAAATTAATTTTCTATGTCATGCGATATGAAGTCAGAATCCAAAGGAAAAGAAAGTCTGCAATTTTAGATATCTCTCAAGTGATTATTATTAACATGGCAATCAGACATGTAAGAAATAATTTATGCTTTTGACGCAGCAATCTATGAAATGATATAAACAGCTTAATACATAGAACTGATATCAAACCAACCATGATGCCTAATTAATAATACCAATTTTCAAATCAATATGATATCATGAATACTTAAATCAATGTCCAAGTCATCAATAAAATTAAATCGGTTTGGCTTCTCTTGATTCACTTCGAGGCAAGTGAAAATTTGAGTCTATTTTTTGCGCATAATTGTGTGTCAGTTTGTATGCTATTTTGGATGGCAAGAAAAGTTGAGGGGGAAAAATGAAAGAAGGGGAAAAGAAAAAAATTGAAGGAAAAATGTTATCATTTTGAGTAAACAAATTAAAAAATAGAGGAAAAAAAAGAAATTATTAAAGTTATTAAAATATCCTTCTATAAAATATGTCATATTTAAAATCAAATTAAATATCACAATAAAAAATATAATTAAAATAGCATCATCAAATAATTTAAATAAATCATCTGATAAAAATGTATTTTCATGTTACTATATTTTTAAAACTAGATAATTTAGGAAAAAAATAACTTTCGAGGTAAAAAAAATAACAGGTGGATAATTTTTTGAAATTAGACAGAATAAAAAGAAATAAATAAATTAACCTTATTCAACATTATTAATATATGATAAAAATATAATATAGAAATAAAATATGGAGGGCACAAGCATAAAATGAGTTTTCTCCTCATTTCTCTTCATATGTAAGAAAACTGAAAGTTGGTAAAAATAGAGCGGATCTCATATCTAGTTTTTTTTCCCCCTCAAATTTTTCTTTTCGTTTGCCTTTTCTCCTCATTCAAATAGAGAAAACTCAATTCTCCCCTATTTTTTCCTAGTTTTATTTCTTATCTCATTTTCTCTACATCTAAATTAAGGATAAAATTGAAAAAAAATTTTAGTTAGGGGAGTTGGGAGAAACCTTGAATAAAAATGATTGTAGTTTTCCATGTGTCTAGTGAACTTCAAGTTTGTAATGATTTTTTTTTTGTTTCTGTACTTAACAACATTAATTTTGTTAATGAAATTAAACCCAAATTCAAGTCGATATAAAACTATAGGAACTAACATTTTTTTAAAAAAAAAATAAAGTCCAAACACCACAATTTGAAATTATAGTAATCAAAATCAACATCCAATCAAATTGTGAGGACTTTGCTCCAAAAAGAAAATCAAATTGTAAGGCCTAAAAATAGTATAGGATTAACGCTTAACTTGTATTTTAATAACATTTATTACTTGTTAAAATCTTAAATAAATGAAGGGTATGTTTGTCATTTGATCATTAAAACATAACTTTGATTTAGTTAAATTGTGTGCTCCAATAGAGGAGAGGAAAGGACCATTCCTAATTTGGTTGATAATTTTGGATGAGAGCCGTAGGTAGAGTTGGTAATACAGGCCAACTCACCGGTTGGTAATAAGGATCGATGAGCCTGTCCTAAAAAAACTGACTTCTGACAGGTTGATATTTTTCCAACCCAGTTTGCCAGGCAGGTTCTTTTTAAAAAAAATTTTTTTTTGTATCTTTTGTTTTCTTTTAATAAAATTTATTCTAATTTTAAAACACCTAAAATAAAATATGTATATAAAATTATTATAAATAAAATGTGAAATCCAAAGTTCCAAACATTTCAAAATACTACTATAGGCATATATGATACATCATCCTAAATGATTAAACATATATCCCAAATTAAAACATAACCAATTTAAATTAATATAAAACACAATGTTATAAATTACTATCAAGTGCTCAACCATGAGCTATCATTCAATGTTGATATAGTTCGAAGAATGATATGAAGATATGAAATTATTTGGTTAAGCTTCATAAGTAGAATCACCTTTTTTTTTTTACTCAACTAACTTTGATATAAGTAAAATTCATAATACAAAGTAAAAGATATACTACTTATGGTAATTTTAAATAATAAGAATGACATAAAGGACTAAAGAAGTAAACATAATTATATTTTAGGGAGGAAAAAATTTTAAAAATAAAATGGGCTGGCCAACACCCTGTGGATTAACTCGCTATAGGTTTGGTCTTAGCGGTTACAGGCTCATAAAATCTATTTTAAAATGAGCCTGATTTTTATCAACCCAACCCGCCATTTTTTGGCTGGTTGTTGGGTTGAACCCACGGACTCAACCTATATTACCAGCTCTAGCTGTAATGGTGGAAATAGACTAGTGGCCTGGCCTGGCCTGCATTAGGCCTAACCTGTTTCAAAATAAAAAAAGGCTCATGCCTCTTTAATGGCCTATTTAGCCTAAGAGGCTAGGCTTAGGCCTTTTTCAAAGCCTGTTAAGCTTGTCAGGCCTAACCTAGCTTGTTTATTTATCTTGATTTAAATTTAAATTTTATACTTATATATAGTCTCATTTCAAATTTTGATATGTACTTATAATTTTTTTTCAATAATATTAACTGTAATTAAAATTTAAAATATCAGTTATGAAATTAAAATTTAAATAAAATATAATAACAAAAAATAATTATTTTGTAGTATGTATATTTTACTTTTTTTATTAGCCTATGCATTTTTTATTATGCATTTTGAAATTTTTAAAATTACAGACTTTTTAAACAAGCTCAAGCCAGGCTAGGCCTTTACACAAACTAGGCTCAGGCTGAAAAAAAGGCCTATAATAGGCCACATGCTAGACTCATGCTAACTTGTTACTAAACAGGCCTGCCTGTTTCCATCCCTTAGGAGAGGGAAACCAAATTTCTGTTAATATAGCCATGAGAAAAAAAAAAAAATAAACTATTTTTATGTTTGCCAGAATATGAGGAAGCACATTTTTTTAAAATATAAATAAAAAATAATTTCATTTAAGTATTTTACTCTCATGATTTTGGTGATATTCCATTAATGATTATAATATGAAAAATAAATTACTCACTTGTTCCAAATGTAGAGGATAAATTATTAATTTAAAATATAAATTTATTGACTATGTTACCCTCATAATTTTTGTTAATTCAATTCTTAAATTATAGTATTATATTATATCAGTTTTTTTATACACATTTTAACATATTGGGGTGAGAATAAATTTTAATAATTTACACAATTTGAATTAAGGTGTGCATTAATTTATATATTGTGATAAATAAAAAATATAAATTACTATCTTGCTTCTTAATGTAAAAGTTAGTTTGATTTTTAATTTGGTTTAAATATAAAATTCAATTTACTTTGTCTCTATCTTTTTTTTTAAAGTAATGCTTGTAGTAATTGCATATATTAAAAATTTCATCAAAGAGTAGTTTTAGCTAATATATATGATTAGTAATGTTATTTTAAAAAAATAACATCTATTTATTATAAATAACTAACTTAATAAATTTTTTAATTTACTAAATTAATCACTAGTTTTTATATTAAAAATAGAATATGATATGTAAAAGTAGAATGGTAAATTAATTATTATCACCCCTGCAAGGCCTTATTATTTTTTGCGCGGGATTCAATATTAAATGAAATTAATTGTTTAATTATAATTATTATACAAATTTTGTTTCCATCTATATACAGAGAGGAATCGCCAGGGCGGATCTTTTTCGTTTCCCTCGTTGCCTCCCTCTCCTTGTTCCTTGCCTCACTGAGCCGCAAAGGTCCATTGTTCCTTCGCTGAAACTCGGAATCTCGGAGATGGGAGACAACAAGCCCAAGTCAGCTGGTGTATGGCCTACTGTGAAGCCTTTCGTCAATGGCGGAGCCTCCGGTATGCTCGCGACCTGTGTTATACAACCTATTGATATGATCAAGGTAAAGCATTCGCCTTTGCAATCTATTTTGGTTCGATAGGCCTGATGGATCATGGAGTTTTTCTTACTCCTTGTCTTCTTAGATATGATGTAGGGCATTATGCATTTGTATTGTGATGTAGTTGTGTGTGAGGAAATGTAGATCTGTGATCTGCGATATCTGTTGCTTATTTTGGTTTTCTCGTTGCGCTTTTTTTTTTTCTTTTATGGCTGTATTTATGATTTATTTGTTTTTCTTAACTGGGTTTGGTGTAGGTGAGGATTCAACTGGGTCAAGGATCGGCTGTACAGGTGACATCTAACATGCTTAAGAATGAGGGTGTTACTGCATTTTACAAGGTTTGCTTCTTCACAAAGTTCTAGTCTTTTCAAGTTTTGTTCTTGATCTCTGGATGTTACTGGTGTTTCGCAATTCTTCCGATTTTTTTGGATGGTGCTTCGGCAATAGTTGATCCTTAATTGGGTGTCACTGAACTCGGCACTGGATATGGCTATTGGAATCTGTCATTTTCTTATTGCATACTTAATAATTTTATAGTGGACAATTCTGAGTTAATGATTCTGATGTTGGTTGCTTTTTGCATAAGAATGTCTTCTTTGGAAGTGATATGGTTTATAGCCTGTTATATGGTTGTTGACGTTTAAAATAAGTGGAAAAAGCGAGTTTTGCATATAGTTAACTACCATTTGAAGTGATTCCAGTGACTATGCTCTGGATCATCCAACTTCGGAACTGTGTGGATCTTTTTCATTTACCTTTCACTATGGTATCCTTTGACTGCTATCTAAATTGAATCATGATTTGTAGGGTCTATCTGCTGGATTACTCAGACAGGCAACATACACAACTGCTCGACTTGGATCATTCAGGTGAGTAAATCACTGTTTCATTCAAAATGAGCGTTTCTGTAGCTTTGCCTGCCTGTGACCTGTGACTTTTATAAGGTTACCTTTTTTCTGCAAAGAATAACTTTTTAAGCTAGAAGGCACATTGTGTAGTATGGTCTTCTACTGTAATGGTCATCTTCTGTAGATATGGCCGCTATCATTTATCCTTCTGACTTCTGAACACTGCATCATACAATAAAACATTATCTGCACTTTTACTCCTTTAAGTTCTGTTATTATCATCATCTTACCGGATGGTTGTGTGGCTTTATAGAGTGTTGACCAAAAAAGCACAGGAGGCTAACGAAGGGAAGCCCCTGCCACTCTATCAGAAAGCTCTGTGTGGACTGACTGCTGGTGCTATTGGAGCATGTGTTGGTAGCCCAGCGGATTTGGCACTCATTCGTATGCAGGCTGATGCAACTTTACCAGTTGCTCAGCGCCGAAATTACACAAATGCCTTCCATGCTCTTTATCGTATTGTTGCTGATGAAGGGGTGTTGTCACTTTGGAAAGGTGCTGGCCCTACTGTTGTAAGAGCCATGGCATTGAACATGGGAATGCTTGCCTCTTATGATCAAAGTGTTGAGTTTTTCAGGGATTCCCTAGGTCTAGGTGAAACTTCTACCATAATTGGTAAGTAACCACTTTGCATCGATGGTGAAATTATTTCTAGCTGACGTGATTGTTATTATGATTGTATGCCGTCATATTGGGAACTGAATTCCACTACTGAATTGTTAAAAGTGGAGTAACATGAGTCCAAATGTTAAGAGAAGGTTAACAGCTATGTTTTGGATGATTTTTTGGGCATCTTTAGTCACATGTTTCTGGAACATGTCATATCTAGTGTAGAACACCCCTTTTCGGTAAGCATTTCCATCTTTAAAGACAGACAGTGAGTAGAATCTAGATACATGTGCCCTAGAGTGATATAAGATTGATAGCTTCTTCCCCTATCACGAATAGTAACAGTTCAGTTTTCTATTTTACCTGGTGAGGTTTCTAAATATAAACTTAAAAGATTCTTTTGGCTTTATTGACGCATATGTTGTTTGCACATAGCCTTTGGGATTTATCTTTTTTAAATATATACCCCCTCCGATTCTTTTTATAAGAGACCATTGCTAAGTATTGCATGTTCCCTTTTATTGGAAACATTTAAAGATTGTCTCAAATTTTGCTTGTTGATTTCCCATTTTACCCCCACTTAATTACTCATATGACTCATATAATTGTATTTAATTCCCACATATTTTCTCTCCATCACATATTCTCTATCTTCCACATAAATGAGGGCATATTTGGCAAAAAGGTTACATTTTTTACATATTTATTATCTTCAACTAATTTTAACTAACATTTCAAACAACACAATTTGGTTAATTGTTTCTTATTAGAAGGAACGGGGGAAATAGTGTATATGCATATAAAAGTTCCTGTTTCTTCTTATCTTGTTTGTGCTCAAGATGATAGATGCAGAACAGATTCTAAAAGACATCTTGTGTAAAGAAGTGCGTCTTAACCTTTGAAGGATTATGCCACTGCAGGCATGGCTCAACTAAGTTAGCAGAAAAGAATATTTCTGTGACAATGCACAGCAACCTCTATCCCAGCATAAGAACACGAGAAAGATATTCTAAAGATAGGAATTAGGACAGCTTAGATGGGATTAAATATCATATATTTATGTCCCTCTCCTTGTTGACGATATATTAGTGGAGTCAATGCAAATATTAAATAGTTAGACTCTTTTTCTGGAATATTGTATATTTGGAAGCAAGAATTACTTAAACATTCAATGACAAAACTGCTGCAGAAAGAACTCGAAAGATGGATAAAATAGGCCTCATAGCTTCTTAGCGCCAAGTTAGACATCACGAATACTGACAATGACATGTCAACACTTGATATATCCGTCCTTTGAAGATACCATGCTAAATGCTTTAGATGGAACTAAGATATATATTATACGCCACTGGGACTGAGGAGAGTAGTCAGTATGTGTTTTTGCCAGCAGATGCGTGTGTGTATTACGACTGTTAAGAACGATTGCTTTATTATGATGGTAGTCTGAATTAGAAAATAAGGGTTCTCTTTCATTATTTTCTCATTTTCTTCCATGTGAAAAGTTTATATTGCCCAAGGGCTAATATCTTGTAACATCTTGCTCAGGTGCAAGTACTGTTTCTGGATTTTTTGCATCGGCTTGCAGTTTGCCATTTGATTATGTGAAGACCCAGATACAGAAGATGCAACCCGATGCCGAGGGAAAATATCCATACACTGGTTCTCTAGATTGTGCTGTCAAAACCATGAAATCAGGAGGACCCTTCAAGTTTTATACTGGATTCCCTGTTTATTGTGTCAGAATTGCTCCTCATGTCATGGTAATCACATCTGTTTGCACGTGTTATTTCTACTTTGGTTTTCCTTCTTGTTTTATCTCACAACCAACAAGATGTGGGCCTCCCATGTACTGTGCGGAATCCGAGAAATGAATTACACTATTCATAACTGACGAATAATGCACCTTCTATAGATTTTATGTTATATAATCATATATTCATATTAATTCTTTGGTCTGTCTTCACTCTAGAGTATCTTCCTGATACCTGCTTGTTTACTTGCGCAGATGACCTGGATTTTCCTTAACCAGATTCAGAAGTTGGAGAAAACTATTGGATTGTAGTTCTCTTTGCTTATGACCATTTTCCTATTGGGTTCAGACCAATTTTTGCATCGCTCAGGAGCATGTAACGATTTAAGAACGTTTATTTGGTCTAAGGTTAAGCTTAAAATAATAGGTTGGTGGAAGATCCTCTTGGGCTTCACTAACACCCGTGAAGTTGATTATTTTTTATTTTTTCAAAGGATTTCATCATGCAAGTGAAGCAGGAATTCAACACATCTGTTGTACTATGTTAAAACTTTAGTTTTTCTTTATTAGGAAATTTACTCTGTGACTGAAGGAGATTGGCATAATCCACTTTTAGTGGGACTTTGATTAATACACGGAGAAATCTTAAACCAGTATTGCAGTTCACAATGAGAATTTCATTGTCAAGTTTTGTAGTTTCATGCCATTTGTTTCAACCAAAAAAAAAATTCTCGGATATTTGGTATTTCCCCCTTTTTGGACTCAGGATTTTCATCTGTTGGATTGACAAATGATTTGGTTCTTTTCATTTTATTTCGGTTCTTTTCAGAGTCCCGGTAGTTGTTAGTTGTTAGTACTCATTATTACAAAAATTTAAAATACTTCATGCACCCTTTACAAGCTAAAATTAGTAGACTTTTGATTACTTAGTGAACCAAAAAAAATACGCAAATTTAATAAACGTGGATGTGCAATTTTAAATTACGAATCTGTGTTTAATAGTTGATGATTTGGTTTGGTTTATCATAAGCTGAATATTGAATCAAGCTGTATGAATTCGTCATGGACAATATCAAATTAATACGACTTTTAAGCTAGTCGGTTTTGATTGATTTTTGAGTGTCTAGTTTTGTTCACTTGTATGGTTTTGAAATTTGAAGTATTGGTGGACCTCTCCGGTAGATGATTATTCCTTCTCCCACGATAACTTTTAAAAATTTTCTTTTTGTTAAATTAGGAGACTTTCTTGATGAGAGTCATTCGCAAGGCAAAAGAGCACATTTCCCTTGTGAATACAAAATCAGAATATTTAATTAAGAGGGAAAAAAAGTACAAATACCCATTGAGAAAAAATATAGGTGCTAGTTAAATAATTTTTTCTTGTTAGTAAAATAGTAAGACTTAAGTTCTAACTAGACCGTTATACCCGTGCGCTACACGGGGAACTACTTTAAAACACAAAGGACAAGGAAAATGTTAAGGGATATTCCCACAAACAGTTAGTGCTTGATCAGCGTGAGTTATTTATGTCATAACTTAAACAATTAAATTGTAACGGTTGACAAACATAATGAGCTATGGATACCAGTATTTACTGCTAATGGTAAAGGAACTATAAAAACAAAATAGTGAATACCACGCGCCATATTACTTACATTACCATGAACCTCAAACATTCCTAAATATTTCTGGGTATACCACATTTGTTGTTGTGTTCAATGCATCAGAACCAGTTTGGGCAACAACAATCTTCAACCCTTCCATGCTCTTAACTCTAGACAGTGCAACATATAATTGACCATGTGTAAAAACAGGCTTGCATAAGTATAAACCAACATAACGAAGAGATTGCCCTTGACTTTTATTGATTGTCATGGCAAATGAGAGTGATATTGGAAATTGCCTTCTTTGCATTCGAAATGGCCACCTATTCTCTGAGGGATTCATATCCATTCTATGAATAAGGACTTTTTTGTTTGGATTGGACCCATTCAATGTGACAGCTTCTATGACTGATTTCCCCAACTTTGATATACGAAGGTGTGTGCCATTATATAGTCCTGATGCTTGATCAATGTTTCGTAATAACATTATAGGTGCGCCCACCTTCAAAATTAACTTATGGGGAGGCATGCCTGAGCAGTTAATTGTGTTGAGAAATTCTGTTGTGTACAGATCATCAAAAGTATCAGTTTTATCAGTGGTCTTGCAAACAGAATCGCAACTTAGAAATTCAAATGACTCTCCTGGCAAAGATGATGACATGTACTCATTGATAAGGTTAACCATCTCAATTGTGGGTGCCAATATTGCTCTTTCATTGAAATATTCATTGCAGTCTAAGTTATCTATCAAATCTGAGTATGTAGATTGAACAATAGAATGCATTGGGTCCATAGGGTTTGAAATCAAGATCTCTTTTGGAATTTCAATCTGTGCAATTCCATCCACTAGGGCACCTAATTTCCCATCTCCAACATCCAATAACCATTGTGAAAACCAAGCCAATTTTTCTACATCCATAGGATTTTTTGGTGCAGACAGACGCATGTTTTTTGTCAACTTGAAAATAGTGCAGTAATCCCACAAGTGAGATGAATTAATACATGCATCTACAATGGAGGCCCTATTTCCTTTAGGAATAACAGGGAGAATCTGACGAAAATCACCACCCATAATAATGCATTTTCCACCAAAAGGTTTGCTAGATTGCATGATATCTTGCAAAGACCTACTAAACGCCTCCACACATAACCTTTGAACCATAGGAGCCTCATCCCAAATTATTAATTTTGTACTCTTGATCAAATTTGCTAGTGGAGAGTTCTGATTTATAGAACACATGGAAGACTCATTTATTTGGATAGGAATTGCAAACCTTGAATGAGCAGTCCTACCAGATGGCAATAAAGTAGCTGCAATCCCACTTGAAGCAACAGTTATGACTATATCACCTTTTGCTTGTAATGTAGAGGTCAATGCATTCCACAAAAATGTCTTGCCAGTACCACCATAACCATATACGAAGAAGAATCCACCTTCACCTTTTTCAACATGCAAAATAACCTCGTCATAAATTTTTTTTTGATCAGCATTAAGCATGTTGAGCAATTTGATCGATTCACGTTGCATCTCAAGCCTATCATAGCTTAACTCTTGAATGATTAGATGGTTCCTGATATCTATTGGTTGAGTTCCATTCGGAATTGGTAAAGAAGGAAAGTCGTGGAGGCTCTTCCCATTTTGACGAAGCAAGGAATCAATGTCTTTAAGTGCTGCTTGTTCTTTATCATCCAAACTAATGTTTAAACCTAAAAAGTAAGTATACTAAAAAATCATAAGTATGAAGTACAAGCATATAACTTAAGTAACATAATAATTGATTGCAAAAGTACTTACAGTTACCTGTAAATGTAGGATCATCTCGAGGGAAGTACAACATATCCTCTGAAATAAATTTTGATGTCTCCCTCCATACATAGTCTGGATGTTGAAGACTACATGACAACAGCATACTAACAAATAGTTTTCGCAAGGAAGTCCCAGTTGCCCAAACAGATGCTTCTTTTATAGCTGCTATGTATTCATTGTCATCATTAAGAAGACCATATGCAAAGCATGCATCCTTAAAAGTCGTATATACAATACCATCAACTGTCTTAATTGCATCAAAAGAGGATGGACCTTTAACTTTGGTCAATAACACACGGAGATAATACAATTCCCCTACAGATGGTGAGATATGCGTCATCCTACCAACGGCAAAGCCTTTCTTCCTACGCTTCCATTTCCGTTTATCCTTTTGGTAGACGTAATGATTAGGGAACTCAATATAAGTCAAACTTCTAGCAAAACCATCATTTGAGTTTTTTTCCATCCAAGATAGAAACTGTGACTCACATACCCTCGGCTTCTCCAACAATGCAGCAACATCATCTGTATTGGCATATATGACATGTTGTTGGTTTGGTAAATGGAAACTCAATCTTTCTACTGCAGGATTTCTATGATGGATATTGAATCCAAATATACGCCATGCACCTTCACATGCAGATATATATCTGCAATTGTAGTATTGTTGCACCTCATCAATTATTTTGTTGTTACCATCAGCATTATTCTGGAAAAGTGCAGCAACTACTCTATCATTTCCTTTGCTGATATACTTGAACAAATATTTGACTGCAGTTGAATGGTTGCACTTCTCAATATTGATGTGCCCTTGAAACATTTGTAGCAATATTGGATTATATGGTACGACATACCGGTTGTCTAGATGTACACCTTTGCTTTCAATAGTTCTACCATCATCTCTTCGTCTATAAGTAGGATACCCATCCTCATCAACAATGGTGTGGTGATTGTATTTTTTGGGAAAATATTTGGTGCATTTTCTTTCCTTCATGCATGGTGACTTTGGGTTACTAACACCACATGGACCATGTATCATATATCTCTTCACCAACTCATACAGAATGGGGCTTGATGATTTGTCTGGTATTTCTGCGCACACAACTGCATCAATGGCTTCGGGATCTTTTATTTTGTCTCTAGGGTGAAGGAATAATAGTATATGTGCATGCGGGAGTCCTCTCTTTTGGAATTCGATTGTGTAAATTTCTGAGAAAGTGAATGAAGAGATGTCACAGTTTAAAATTGCATAATTAGAAATGAAGTAAATACAAAGAACAGTAAATAAGGAGAATATTATTATATGAGCTAACCTGCTATGATTTCACCAAGTATCTTCTCAGTCTTGAGAAATTTCATGAGACATTGTAACTTCAGTTTGAAAATGCGAACTAATATATCTGGACGGTCGGATGGCTTGACTGCGTGTTGTGAGCAAAACCTTGTGATCTCCGGCCAGGCAGGATTGCAAGTAAATGTCAAAAATAAATCAGGATACCCAACAGACCGACAAAGAGCCATTGCATCTTGATAATTGTTGACCATATATCTTGCTCCACCAGTGAAAGAAGATGGAAGAATGATTCGCTTCCCAATTGAAGCAGCATTTCGTTCCCCTCCAACAATAGCATCAGATAATCCTTGGTATAAGTCTACACGCAGCTCCCTCTGATGTGTCTTGACCCATAGCAACCTTTATGATTCTATCATTGTATATCCATCGACTATAAATTGTTGGAGTAATCTAGAAGCATGCAAGATGGTAGAGGGCTCATTTGTTCTTACCATCAAGCGATAGCTAAAGAACTCACGCATACTTAATCTTTTTCTTGTTTTGGTCACCCTAACGGTCTCTTCTCTATGTTCAATATCATCTCTATAGCCATCTTCTCCAAAAGGGAATAGGATAGGATATTGAAGAGGTAAATAAGATGCATGCAATTCACTAATCCTTTGAGGAGTCCCAGAATGTTCTTGTATAATAATATCCCTAACTGAAGATGTCATGTCTAAATCACCAACAACTAATGCTGCAACCTCAGAAGCTATAGGCACATTATAGATTCTACCATCTGTTTGTCTTGCACTAAGCAAACACAGCTTAAGTGGTCTATGTTGATAACTATTGAGTAATGATGATGCAAGACGGTATTGTTGGACAAAAGGATTCACTTCATTTAACTCCTCCTTAATTTGTTGTACTATATCAGAATTGATGATGACTTCATTTTGATATTTACTGCAAAAATGCCGAGCAAATTGGTCATCAGAGGTTCGAAGTATTTGTATAGATAAAATTGAATTTATATTTAAATTTGAAGTAAAGATTAATACCTAACAGCAGCAATTCTGTTGGTGACCTCATTTTCGGTGTCATATATGTATAGTTGTGAGAACACCGGACGACAACCCTCGGGTGGCAATAAACTACCAATGTGATGGTAATTCATTCCTGATAATACAAATGTGTATGGACCTCCACCATTATTTTTAGAGTGATCTACCTTGCCTCCCAATGATGTGAATGAGAACATATTATTATATTGTCTAATATTATGATGGAAGTTTCTAGAGTTAGGTGACTCCTTCTCAAAGAACAACCTTGCTAACGTTGGTGGAGGTGACTTCATTAGAGGCAAAACTACTTTACCTTTTAGGCAACAAAGTGAGAATGTATCCACGTGCCTTTGCTTCCTATCTTTCTTCACCCTTTCATTGAACCAAAGATTTGCTCCACAAAACTTGCAAACATGTATAGGATCCCCTTCATCTATATATCCTGTGAACAAATGCAATGTATAAGCTGTGCATTACATAATTAGACACATCGTTTTCTAATGCAAAATGTAATGTACCATCGAATGCAATTATAGAGTCATCACGATCAGTTGAAATACTGTCTTGTGATAGAGAGTTAAACCCACTTGACTGTGTACCTGACATTTGGAAAAAAGACAGCCAACTAATTTGAAATGATATAAACTTACATGCTGCTTATTTCTCATTTGGTAACTATGGTTAATGGCAATAGCTAACCTTCGTTTAGATCAAAGGGTTCATCATCTGATTCGCTGTCATCACTGCTATTATTTTCAAAGTTGAAAGTAATGTTCCTATAAGCTACACGTTAAAAGAAACATAAGTCAATGACTATTAGCTGTTGCTGTCACTCATAAGTTTTAATAACATTATCTTGTGCATAACAAAACATTAAATAGGAACGAATGGCTACTGTATACATATACCTGATTCTGTTTCATTGATAGATTTGTTAGCTTGACGATGCGATTGACTGGCATGATGTAATTCTCCTTGATGACAACCTTTACATTTAAAAAACCAAAGCTGAAAATGACAAATTATTTTATTTCCTATGTTGCTTCTAAGGGATTTTCCCAATATCATTTCCCTATTCCACAGCTATCTACTCTCACATAAATATATATTTGTTTCATACACACAAAAAAAAACTGCCAACCTGTGCATTTAGAAAAAAATTTATTTTTTTACGATTTCATTCATACTACAAAAACGAAGTTAGTTAAGACTCTTCATTTTTTTTTCCAAATCCCACATGTATTGTTAAAGCCTACACTTTCATACTCGCTAAAGTTCTAAATTATGAATTCTTAATGTGATTAAAAATACCCTTTTGACATATACATACACCCAGATAAGGCTTTTTAGCTTTGTAAAACATAAAAATTTATAAACATATTACATGCCCGAAACCTTTATATATACGGTATAATATTTCATATATGTAATTTGAATTGATTTATACAATATATAACCTAATTGATTATCACCTGATGTTGGAGGCCTAATTGCATCTTCTCCCGGTCATTCTGATAGAGTCCTTTCTACGCATAAACTTGTATCACCCAAAAACCCATTTGCTGGAAAAACTAAACGAACATGAACGAAATATAGCAACAGCTTAATAGGTCAAACTCTTACTTTGTGGTGCAGCAAGAAATGAAAGAACATGCAACACGGGTTTTCTAAGTTGGTTTGCTCATCGTATACAACATCTAGATGGGAAAAATATGAGCATTACCTTCGTTGACATCTTTTTGTATTCTTTTCCTTGTCCTTTTATTGGCAATGCACATATTTTCAATGCTTCTCATTCGTGCACTCTTTCATGTTAAAGGCTCTTTCCTTCCTGTTGCATTTGTCTTTTCTGTAAGAGATGAAAAGAACCATTAATAAACGTCTTGAAGAGTCTACTCAAGATTGCCTCCGAAGGTATCATAGCAATACCGGTATCAAAGTGCACTGCCAAATTCGAAACCAAGTTTGTTACATCTGTCAAGGCACCAGACTTCCTTACTTGCCTTCGTTTGCTAGTCACACCAAGTTGACTAAAAACACTAGATGTCGGGGTTTGATTTGAAGAGTTAACATCCACCATTGCTGTTGAGAAATGAACATACAATGCGAATGAGATTCGTAATATGAATATATGTTGAATGGACTGGCTAAAAACTATGACAGTATCTTCAACTTTCATATATAACAGCATATACATGTTTGTATAAGCATAGAAATGAAAGAGAGTAATACCTGGTACAGATAAATCACAATCATTTAGTTCATTGGAGTATGTCGGACTAATCCCGTATGGTTCTTTGGAAGCCATACTAATGACATCAAAGCTGAGAGAGCTTCGTGAAGTTGATATTTATATGGTTAGCATTTTATATTGATTATTTTCTTTGACCAAGATTGTAACTTTAACAGTCAAACCGTACACAAGTTATGTGAACTGTTAAAAGCAAAGTTGATAGGGACATGGCTTATGCAGCATAAGCATTAGGTGTTCGATGTCTGCAAGCAAGCATTAAATACATGACATTGACCTATCATTGACATGTAGCTATTGGTAATCTCAGGTATCAATTGAGATTATATAGTATAAAATAGTAGTGGCTAGTAGTAGGGAGACTCTAGAAATTTTTTATTTTTTCTTCTTATTGTGATCATCAAAGATTTTTAGAATTACTTACATTAATATGCAGATTGTTTTTTGCCCATATCGAGAGTGAGAATTTTTGGTAAAAAAATAATGATAGTAAAAGACTGAGAAATATTTCCTTTTTATCCACCACAACAACACGATGAATTTTGTATGGGTATTACTAACGTTTTCCTACCAGGTATTAACTGATGGATAAGAGACTTTTACTCTGATATTCATGAAAATACTATTTAAGTTTTTAGTACATTGACTACCTGGGCTTTAACTAATATTAGTAACTGCATTTGACATAATGGCCTAAATAATAAAAAAATTAGTTAGGAAGAGATGGATAATTTTTTTATTGGTGATATTTATAATCAAGAAAGACAAGATATTTACCCAAAAATTAAAGAATGAGAAATCTTCTCCTTTTATCCACGACAACAACATGATGAATTTTGTATGGGTATTACTAACAATCTAACATTTTCCAACCAGGTATTAACTGATGGATAAGAAACTTTTACTGTCATATTCATGTAAATATTGTTTAAGTTTTTATAGTACACACTGACTATATAGCCTTTTACTAATATCAATAAATGCAATTGACACAATGGCCTATATAATAAAAAAAATTAGTTACTAATCAAATAACCCAATACAGCAAAAAAAATAAAAAGAGTAAAAACTCTTTTTGTTGGGAAGAGATGGATAATTTTTATTGGTGATATTTATGTGGATTATTTATTCATTTTATAAAACTACAACTTAAGTGTCCCATGTTTCTATCTAGAACTTCAAATGTGTATTCCTTAATTATTAGGGGTCAACGAAGATTGTCCGTATACACATTTGAAAAACACAAAACATGGGACGCTTTTTTTTTTTAGCACACATTTTAAGTAGTAAAAAATTGACATAGGAATTTAAGTTAAAATATTTGTTATAAAGTATTAACATCTAAAAAGACCATGGCAGTAAATTTTTAAAAATTTGTAAGACGCTTATAAATCCAATCTTTAGAACTTGACCAAAAAAAGTGAGTCCAAAACAAAAAAAGAACCTGACCAAAAATTCAGAACCTCGGCCTATGAACAAATGTCTTTAATAATGGAATTCCTATGACGGTCATATATTCTAGTAAAACGCTAAACCTGACAAATATTATGAATCAGGCAACAATAAAAAAAATGCAAGAAATCATATTCCATACCAAGTGACTAAATACCGATTATATAATATATTGGTTATTATTTTTATAGTATTTGAGGGAAAAAAACCATAGCTACTGAGACATGTATACATACATATTATGTACAAATACAAACTCAGAATGATTGTTCCCACTAAATATAAAGCACTCCATTTATTTTTGTGTTTACTTCAATTAAACCTTGCCGTTAGTTGAGGAGATATGGTCTTATAATATTTGTTGATTCAATGATTTGTTGATTGTTGCTTACCTAGTATAAATTAGTAATCAGTAATATTTTGAATAGTGTTTGATGCAGAGCGCATGACATAAAAGGCATATCAGTACTGGACTAAACTAAACATCACTACATTCACTTAGACGATATGAAAAAGATAGGTACAGATACTCGAACTGACATGGGAATAAAACGCTGAAATAAAATGTGGGAATTTAGTTTTCCTAAAGCTATGATAACTTCACACAGGGACAACATAGAACTTATGAATCTAACTTCATAGTTCTTCCTACTGTTACAGAAAGTGAAAATGGGCTCAAACACTCTAACATATGACACATTACTTCTCCTTCTTGATGACCTTATAAACTCTTTCTGCTTCTGAATCTTTAGTAGGCAAGCTCTGTGAAGAACTGGCAGAAACATCCACTCCAACATTTCTCTTGATCGCCGACCTTCTCCTCACTCTATTAGTTACTGGTGTGACCTGGTTAGCAAGCTTGACAAGAGTGACGTCTTCAAGTTCATTGTTCTGTGGTGCAGCAGGCTGAGGGATAACGGGTGACACATTTTCATGGCTATCCTGATTATCAGTGATTTCAACTAACGAAGGAACATCCTGGAGCATCAATTTTCAAACAATATTTAACTCATATTTACTGTCTTGAACAATAATGTAAGGATGGTAATATTATGGACCATTTTTTTGTTATAATTTATGGATCCAAACCTGGCTGTCATTGTTCGCATTACGGGCATTAACTTCACCGACTTCAACATTTGCATCCATAAACTGGTCCATGAGGTCTTCACAAATAGTAAACTGGCCTACACTAATTGCAGATGTTGGATGTTTTTTGTTGTACTCATTGAGCTTCATTTTCACTAGTAGAACCTTTCCCACAGGATCTTCCAGCTCATCCGGAAAATCATATGCTGGGCGATTATCCTGTGAACATTGATATTGTTATATAGCAAAATACGTACATTTAATTGTGGAGTACTTTCAAAGCAACCAAACCTGTTGCATGAGAAGTTTCAACTCTGTGGTGCTCTTGTTAATCAATTGAATAGCTTGTTTATCCCAAAAGATTAATGAAGCAGATCCAGTATCGTCTTCCACCATGTAGTGAATGCGAAGCCTACAATAAAAGACATGACGGTCATAATATGTGAGGATAAAAATAACATACCAAATAATACTAACATCTCCTTCGACCATACTTTGGTTCTATGGCATCTGGAACTTTCTTGCAGATTGGGCACATAACTGATGTACCCTCAAGTCTGGTTTTCGCAGCACACTTTGAACATCCATCATAGGTCCATCCGTGATATGTTTCTAGCTTCTTAACCGTGCATTTAACAACAAAACTCTCACCCTGATGTTGGGAGGAAAAAACAGACTTACATATCACAGCCATAACTTATAAAATTGACAGATACAAGCTTGTTGGGACAGAATTTTTGTATCTCTAACATAAAAAGACAATATACTAACTATTTGTTGCAATTGAACGTCTTTGATAGTAACTTTCGGCTGACTGTGGAGTGATGTGGCACTTGAGGATTGACTTGACTGTGAAGATAACTGCTGACCATATAGGTGCATCACAGGGGAGCTATCATCATCGACACTATATATATAATCATTTCAAAGTAATGAGTAACATGTGGAAAAAGATAACCGACACTGACAGCTGATGCATGCTTAGTTATATTAATACGTAACTATATTATTGAATGTGGTAATATAATAATAGTAGACCCCACACACTTGACTTTAACCTTTCAATTAAGTCTTTGACTTCCTTGATTGGAGGGTTGAAAAATACTCTAGTGGCAAAGAAGGAACTGCATATAGTTGGGGCTCCTACAATAATACAAAATAAAATCCGTCAAACAAAGGGTAGGTAATATTACTATAAACTAAACCAAATAAACCACATAGAAAGTATATAAGTATATGAACAACACCATCTTCGGAGAAACCAATTCTAGCGAGATTGAATAGGCCAACAACAGGTGTTTCTGTGTTCTGTAACTGAGCCATAAAAGCATCAATTGCACAGTCATCAAATAGTACGCACTCAATATCATTCTCCCTGCCAATACATAATAGTTAATATTACGCCATTAATGAAGTATGAAATAAGTATATTTTGTTCTAAATTAGGTAGGTGGTCAGTACCGGGCATCAGTCAATATCATGCGAAGTTTAGACTTAGTTTCATTATCCCTACGGAACTCTTCAAGCGTACCCATGGCCTTCACAAATGCCATCACATCTGTAAAAAATAATTTACTTACAACTATACCACACAACTATGTTAATACCTATTGTGTGAAGTCATCTGTATAAATAATTCACCATACCAAAAAGGTGTTGAACGTGGTGCTCTGGAGTGGCCTTCAAAATCTCAGAGATGGGGAAGAATGAATATGAATATGCTGGAAGTGATACGTTGTGGTCTGCAAAGAAAGTTTGTGGAGTGAAAGTGATCTTGAAAGGGTGTGTTGAAGCTCTGTATTGATTTCCATTTTGTGACACAATGAAGTTAGCGAATAAGTAAGTATTTCCTTCCACAATATTAGTTTTGTATCTGGCCATGATATTCCTATTTAGCACAGTCGCTTGAATGGTAGTACCCTGTGTTATAGTCAGCACATGTAAGTAACACACACTAAGTGACTAAGTTGAAGAATATTGACACATGATAGAATACATCCTCATCCAATAACAGCATGGTCACGCCAAAAACATCACCAGGAGTATTTTTTTGGTAGATGTTCCACTTGCGCATAACCCTCACTATTATACTCCAACGGTCCGTGCCATCATGCAAGTTCTTAATCAAACTCATACGCACCATTTCTACAGATCTGAACCAAAGAATGCACACTAAATAAGATATGGAAGCTAGAACAATATATGAAGATAAAAAAATATGAAATAAACCATTGGAGCAATGGAAGAGGACGAATATAAAATATAAAAGCATTATTCACCTCTTACGTATTCAAAGATGAAGGGCAAGGATTACAAGAAAGAGTTATGTGATACCACCAGCAAACATCTTTATATAAGCCGCTACCTATGATGCATGGGCGGGAAAATTTTGAAAACCATTATCTAGCTTGCTGCCCTCACTATCTTATTCGTCTTATATACCTACAACAATTAGAAACAATTTGAAATAAGTTTATTATCCACACAGCTACAACTTACGTCAAAAAGGGGCTTTATCAAGAGAAAGCGATTCATAATAAGGATTTTAACTAAAATTGTGTACAGTTGATATGACTATTCATGTATGATATATTATAAGATAAGCTGTCAATGTTCTTTCTGTGCCTTATATTACCCATGACATTGGCTATTCCCAATTTTGTGTAATTCTGTGGTCTTCGATATAGCTATTACTTCTTTTATACAATTAGCATATACTATCATGATGAGAGATATCCCACTTCAAACAACTTTCAGGCATACTCTCTGCAGCCTACATTGTAGCTCAACTTGCAGAGATCATATGGAAAATACCCAGTTATAGAGATTTTATATATGAGAATATTAAATAATAAAATAAGTGGTCTAGGGACATATCGTTCTGTTTTATATTATATTAAATTACAGCATATTAAAGGACATCAAAAGATACCTACGACAACCTATCTGTTTATTAGACCGTGGTATTAAGTGATTGGACATGCATAGATAAACTATTAATTATACATTCGTTGAATCCGGTTGTAATGGATATGAATAGAATGGTACCCATGATGATATTAATTTCATTTCACATTAGCATATTCCTTAACTTTAAGTTTAATTTTTTTAAATATTTCCTGCATCTATTACGCATTTTTGGTAATTTTTAATTTGATTTTTACCATTCATAATATTTTATCTATCCTTTCAATTTAATTTAAAATGTCAGAATTAGAAGCTACATATATAATTCTATTCCTTTCATTTACATATATATATATATATGAAAAATAAGGGCATATTTATTTTTTTAATACTACATTTGATCCTTAATATAAAAGCTAGATAACTAATTTTGGGATTTAAAAAAAAATTAATATAGTTATTTGTCATACATGTATATTGATTTCCCTAAACTATCCTCTTCAATCATGTGAGTTGGATGATTATAATTATATAATTGTTATTAATAAGAAGAATTTTTATTTTCAAAATACATATAAAGGGGAAATTATTATTTCCATGATATTAAATTGAACCATAAATTGGAGAATCAATATAAGTTAAGTGTCTCATGTTTCTATCTAAGTTAAGTATAAACTATAAGTAGGAGCCAATTTACATCATGTGCACTAAATATGAGCCAATGTCTGATAAGACTATGAACACGTGAAATCAACATCTTGTTGCTCTAGCAATTGTTCTGTAAAGTTTGGAAACAAAAGATTCGAGTTAGAATTAATAGCTCAAGACAAACAAAATTTCATACGTAACTATACATATCTGACAAAAAGAATCATTTCCACTTCCATAGGTATTTTGCTCACACTGGCATTGATAAAGTTCAAGGATCTTACCTTAATTATCAAACATACCTGATCTCTTCTACATTAATCGATGAAGTGAGGAGTCCAATATATATGATAGTCAAAGAGATTTGTAAACATGTTCCGTCATGTTCATTCTTACTGCAATCAATCCCTGTGTAACTTCTGATGACATTATACAAAAGTATAACTCCACCGGTCAACAATTTGTACTGTACTTTATCATTTTCCTGACAAGTGCTTTTCTCATAAACCCATGTAAAATCAGTATCATCTAGTCCTTTCGACCATCTGTGAAATAAAGTTTAAATGAAAAAGATTATGACACCATCACTATCTACATGTTCAGCGGCACCTATGACTTTCATTAAGCTCTAAAAAAACTTTCCTCCCTTAGCAAAGTTACTCTCATCGGCTTCCACAACAAATAAAGTGCATGCTTACAAATAGAGATATTTCTACCTTGTGATATACTCATAAGGAAGCGGGCCGCTGAGTACTCTAACACTGCAGCAAAAGACTATAATAATTGCGATAATCCATAGCTGTTTGACCTAGTATATGGAAGTACCTTGCTAGGTAAAGAGGTAGATAAAGCTTTTTATAAATAAATATGGTATATAAAAAGCACTATGATTATTGCCATACCCAAATAAGAGAGGGAAGCTAGAACAATATATGAAGATTAAAAAAAAAATGAAATAAGCCATTGAAGCAATGAAACAGGACGAATAAATATTATCCAACCTCTTACTTACTCAAAGATTAAGAGCGAGGACTATAAGAAGAATTTTGTCATAAATATATATATTGACTTCCCTAACTATCATCTTCAATCATGTGCATCGGATGATTATAATTATTTTCAAAATACATATAAAGGGAAAATTATTAAACTGAACCATAAATTGGAGAATCAATATAAGTTAAGTGTCCAATGTTTCTATCTAAGTTAAGTATAAACTATAAGTAGGAGCCAATTTACATCATGTGCACTTAATATGAGCCAATGTCTGATAAGACTATGAACATGTGAAATCAACATCTTGTTGCTCTAGCAACCGTTCTGTAAACTTTGGAAACAAAAGATTCCGGTTAGAATTAATAGCTCAAGACAAACAAAATTTCATACGTAACTATACATATCTAACAAAAAGAATCATTTCCACTTCCATAGGTATTTTGCTGACATTGGCATTGATAAAGTTTAAGGATCTTACCTTAATTATCAAATATACCTGATCTCTTCTACATTAATCGATAAAGTGAGGACTCTAATATATATGATGGTCAAAGAGATTTGTAAATATGATCTGTCATGTTCATTCTTACTGCAATCAATTCTTGTGTAACTTCTGATGACATTATACAAAAGTATAACTCCACTGGTCATACAATTTGTACTGTACTTTTTCATTTTTCTGACAAGTGCTTTTCTCATAAACCCATGTAAGATCAGCATCATCTAGTCCTTTCGACCATCTGTGAAATAAAGTTTAAATGAAAAAGATTATGACACCATCACTATCTACATGTTCAGCGGCACCTATGACTTTCATTAAGCTCTAAAAAAACTTTCCTCCCTTAGCAAAGTTACTCTCATCGGCTTCCACAACAAATAAAGTGCATGATTACAAATAGAAATATTTCTACCTTGTGATATACTCATAAAGAAGCGGGCCGCTGAGTACTCTAACACTGTAGCAAAAGACTATAATAATTGCGATAATCCATAGCTGTTTGACCTAGTATATGGAAGTACCTTGATAGGTAAAGAGGTAAATAAAGCTTCTTATAAATAAATATGGTACATAAAAAGCACTATGATTATCGCCGTACCCCACATATACACGAATATGTGAAATACACCATCAAGATGGGAAAGAAAGAATGTATAGTAAATAAGAGATAGAAGCTAGAACAATATATGAAGATTAAAAGAAAATGAAATAAGCCATTGAAGCAATGAAATAGGATGAATAAATATTATCCGACCTCTTACTTATTCAAAGATTAAGAGCGAGGATTGTAAGAAAGAGTTATGTGATCTACGACCAAGAAACATCCATATACAAGCTGCCACTGATAATACATGGGCGGGAAAATTTTGAAAACCATAATCCATCTTGGCACCCTCACTATCCTATCCTACTCATATGGCTACAGCAATTAGAAACAATTTGAAATAAGTTTGTTATCTACATAGCTACAACTTGCATCAAAAAGGGGCTTCATCAAGAGAAGGTGACTCATAATAAGGGGTTTAGCTAAAATTGTGTATAACTGATATGACTATTCATGTATGATATATTATAATGTAAGCTGTCAATGTTCTTTCCATGCCTTATATTAGCCATGCATTGACTATTGCTGATTTTGTGCAATTTTGAGTTCTTCGATATAGCTATTACTTCTTTTATACAATCAGCATATGCTACGTGATGAGTGATATCCCACTTCAAACAACTTTCAACCATACTATTTGCAGCCTACACTATAGCTCAACTTGCAGGGATCCTATGGAAAATGCACAGTTATCATGATTTGATAGGTAGACAGGTAAATAAATTGTCTAATAATAAATATGGTATATAAATAACGCTATGATTGTCGCAATGCCCCATGAATGCACAAATATGTGAAATAAATAATCAAGATGGTCACAAAGAAGAGAAAGTACCCATCAGAGTAGACAAATTTTGCACCTATTGTCAGGTTACCCCATGGATGAAAAGACAATACCAACATTGATTAAACCCTTCCTTTTATCTACTCTGACTTATGTGAGCTACGAAGCCTAGCTCATCAATAAGAATGATTGAAATTAATTAATGCACAATAATTTTTAAATATTACCACCATCACGTTTAGCTAGGGGGCTAAGCGTTATCAATATCCACATCACCAACCTCACTTCTTAATAAGTCCATCGATCACTTCCACAACCAACACAAGGTTCAACCTATCAAATAACAACAAAGGATGAGCAGCATGGAGGCATTCGTTGGCATAGACTTCTACAACTTATTACGTCGCTGGAGGAACCATGGTGTCAGCCTTATTCGAGTCATCCTTATTACGTCGCTGGAGGAACCATGGTGTCAGCCTTATTCGAGTCATCTGTGGTCCATTGATTGTTCTCATCACAAGGGATGCAACTACTAAAGAAAAAATGTTCCACACTGCTATTATGGAGGAAGTCATTGTGGGTTCCTCAAGTTGGTATGGAGAACAATATTTCATCATCAAATGTATTTATGGAATTTTGAGGGCACAAGGTTTTTACTGCAAACCATTGGAGCGTGTAGAAATCTACAACTATAATGACTACAAT